TTTATTTCAACACTTGCATTCACCCACATCCGGTCCTGCGCTTGCATTGTGTATTGCAGCCTCTGATTTGCACTCTTTGTTTCGCGGGTGGCACTAACTCTGTTCATTGGCGGCTACCTGATATGTACGCTTTAATTAGCAGGTACGGTTAACTTTGGTCTTTCTTCTCCCCTCGCTCTCTCCGGCGCTCTTTGATCTCCTCCTGATCTGCCTGGTCTTACTGTCTGTATCTGTATACTCTTCTCTCTTACAATTTCTCCTTTTCTCGGACTTGCTTTCTCTCTCGCGTTCTCTCTCTCGTCTCCTCCTCTCTCTCTCTTCTCCTCTCCTCCTCTCGTCTCTCTCCTCTCCATCTCTCCTCCTCGTCTCTCTCCTCTTGTTCTCCTCTCTCTCCTCTCTCTCTACTCTCCCTCTCTCGTTCCCTCTCTCTTCTCTCTCCTTACTCATCCTCCTCTCTCCCTTCTCTCCATCTATCTCTCTCTCTCCTCTCTTCTCTTATCTCCTCTCTCATTTCTCTCTCTCCTCTCTTCTCTCTCTCTTTTCGTCTCTCTCTTCTCTCCCTCCTCTCTCTCTCCCCTCCCTCTCTCCTCTCTCCCTTCCCCTCTTCTCTCTCTCCTCCCCCCTCTCTCTTCCCCCTCTCTCTCTCCCCCCCTCTCCTTCTCTCCTCCCCCCTCTCTCTCTCTCTCTCCTCTCTCTCTCTCTCTCTCTCTCTCTCTCTCTCTCTCTCTCTCTCTCTCTCTCTCTCTCTCTCTCTCTCTCTCTCTCTCTCTCTCTCTCTCTTCTTCTCTCTCTCTCCGTCCCTCCCTCCCTCTCTCCTTCCCCTCTCCTTCCTTCTCCTCACTACCCCCACCACCACCATTATTTATCGCTATTGTTGCATCACCACCACCACCATTCTCCCTCCCTCGCCTCCTCTCCCATCGCCTCCACCGCCTTCCCTTCCCTCCCGACGGCGCCTTGCTTGCTTGGGATTCCTGTCTCCCCCGCCGGGGGAGGGCACTGCAGCGCGCGGTGTGGTGGTGGCTGCTTTCTTGCTTTGCGGTGTTGTTGTTGTTGTTGTTGTTGTTATGTGGGATATGTTGGTCGTGATTTCTTCTTCTTTTTTTCTTTTATCTTCCTCTAACTCCTCCTCTTCTTCTTCCTCTAACTCCTCTTCTTCTCTTCCTCTAACTCCTCTTCTTCTTCTTCCTCTAACTCCTCTTCCTCTTCCTCCTCTTCTTCTCTCCTCCTCTCTCCTCCCCTCCTTTTTTTTATTCTTTTCTGCAAATTATTATTACTGTCGTTATTAATGATACAATTTTCACTGTTGGTATATTGCCTGTTATTTTTAAAGGCATCATCAATATCATCATAACACTTGTTCATTTTGTAGTTAAGTGTTTATAGTTTGTGTTGATTATATCCTTTGTGTCATATTATTGTTATTATATTATTATATTATTTTACATCATTATTCATTATTATTATTGTTATCATTATCATATCATCCATCATTATTTATTTTTATTATATCATTAATTATTATCATTATTATATTGTTAATTAATATTGTTATTTTTAGTCATCATCAGTCATATATTATCATTCATTATTATCGTTATCATGCATTACTCCACCCCCACCCATTACTCCCATCATCACCACCACCCATTACTCCCACCACCACCACCACCACTGCCCCCCGCCATTATCGGTGCCATAATCCCATTAAAAAAAGAAGGGTAAACCCCCCACGACCCGTATCTCACGCACCCTTGCCCTCTGCGCCCCGTCCTAACCGTGGCATTCTCCTCTCCCTCAGGTATGCGTCAAGGGGCGAGATGGGATGCTGTCGAGATGGCGCGCCGCGAGGAGTGAGTCATGGGAGCGGAGTCAATGGGAGGGCGATGGTGAGGGGGGTGGGGAGGAGGGGTGGGGGGAAGGGGGTGGAGGTGGGTGGGAGGAAGGAGGGGGAAGGGGTGGTGGGATGGATGGGGTGAGCTGGGGTGGGGTTGAGGTGGGGGGTGGAGGAAATGGAGGATGGAGGGGGTGGGTGAGGGAGGTGAAGAGAGGAGTAAGGGGGTAGAGGGTGGGAGGGGGGAGTGGGTTGGAAGGGGGGAGAAGGTGGGTTGGGGAGGGGGGAGGAGAAGGAGGGGGCTGTTTGATGATGATGATGAGAAGTGATTGGTTGAGTTATGGTTTGTGCTCGTTAGCCTTTTTTTCATTATTTGTTCTTTGTTTTTTCTTTTTGTTTTGAGGTTTTATATCGGCATTCTATTTTTTTTTTTTCTTTGTCTCTCTTATCTGTCGAAGCAATCGGCTGACAGCTCGATGAATAGCTTATCTTTTCACTGATCAATATGTCCATCTCACGTCTGTCGGCCCATTCAGTTGTTGCATTCCATTCGTTTTCTGTCGGTCTGTCTGTTTAATCTGTCTGTCTGGTTGTCATTCCTGTCTTTTGTTGTTGTTTTTTTCATTTTTTCTTGTATCTTCTTTCTTATCCTTCTTCCCATTCTCCTTGCCTCTTGCCCGTCTGTTGGATGTGGAGTTGGGTAGAAGGGTGAGAGGGTGGGGTGGGGAGGAGAGGAGAGGAAGAGTAGTAGAGGAGGAGTAGGAGGAGGAGGAGGAGTAGGAGGAGGGAGAGGAGGAAGAGTAGGAAGGAGAGTAGGAGGAAGAGTAGGAGGAGGAGTAGGAGGAGGAGTGAGGAGGAAGTAGAGGAAGAGTAGGAGATAAGGAGGAAGAGTAGGAGGAAGAGTAGGAGGAAGAGTAGGAGGAAAGAGAAGGAGGGAAGAGTAGAGGAGGAAGAGTAGAGGTAGGAGGAGAGTAGGAGGAAGAGTAGGAGAGTAAGTAGGAGTAGAGGAAGTAGAGGGAGAAAGAGTAGGAGGAAGAGATAGGAGGAGAGTAGCAGTAGGAGGAAGTGGAGTAAAGAAGAAGAAGAGAGAGGAAAGAGAAGAAAGAAGAAAGAAGAAAGAAGAAGAAGAAGAAAGAAGAAGAAGAAGGAAGAAGAAGAAGAAGAAGAAGAAGAAGAAGAAGAAGAAGAAGAAGAAGAAGAAAAAGAAGAAAGAAAGAAAAAAAAAAGAAAAGAAAACAAGAAAAAAGAAAAAAGAGAAAGAAGAAAGAAGAGAAAGAAAGAAGAAAAAGAAGAAAGAAGAAAGAAAAGAAAAGAAGGAGAAAAAGAAGGACGAAGAAGAAAGAAGAAGAGGCGGGAGGAGAAGGACAAGGAAAAGGGGGAGAGAAGGACAAGGAAAAGGGGGAGGAGAAGGACAAGGGAAAAAGGGGCGAGGAGGCAAGGAAAGGGTGGGGGAGAAGGACAAGGAAAAGGGAGGAGAAGACTGGACAAGGAAAAGGAGGGAGGAGGAAGGGAAACAAGGAAAAGGGGGAGGAGAAGGACAAGGAAAAAAGGGGAAGAAGGAACAAGGGGCTAACGGGAGAGGCGGGGAGGGAAAGAAGGAGGGAGGAAAAGGGGGAGGAGAAGGAGGGAGGAGGGAGGAGGTGGAAGGGAAGGGAAGCGGGGATAGTGGTTGGTTGGGGTCGATGTGCAGGTGAGGTGGAGTTCAAGGAGGACGCGGGGACGGAGGTGCTGAGAGGAGAATGAAGAGCAGAAGGTGGAGGTGGAATGGTCTTGGGTGGAGTGGAGGAGAGAGAATGGAGACGAAGGTGGAGGTGGGAAAAACGACAGGAAGAACGTAGAGATTAGGCAGGGGGTGGGCGGTGGAGATAGGAAAATGAACAAGAGGAGTAAAGTAACGGTCGGTAGGAAGGTGAATGAAACGGACAAGGATAAAAGAGAAGGGAGGAAGATTATAAAAAAAGCGAATATGCGTGTTATTGTGAGCGCCGAGGAAGGAATGACGTGAGACCCAAAGCCTGCGTCGTGACCTGGCACGCTCTGCGTTCGCTCGCGCTCTCCCGGCCGCGAAGAGCCAAATGCGGGCATTGAAAATATGATGTATATGTATGTGTATATATATTATATATATATATATATATATATATATATATATATATAATATATACATACACAGAGAGAGAGAGAAGAGAGAGACGAGAGAGTAGAGAGAGAGAGAGAGAGCAGAGAGAGAGAGAGAGAGAGAGAGAGAGAGAGAGAGAAGAGAGAGCACGCACACGCACACACGCACACACGCACACACACGCACACACACACACACACACACACACACACACACACACACACACACACACACACACACACACACACACACACACACACACACACACACACACACACACACACACACACACACCAACACACGACACACACACACACACACACACACACACACACACACACACACACACACACACACACACACACACACACACACACACACACACACACACACACACACACACACACACACACACACACACACACACACACACACACACATATATATACATCTATTACCTAAGTGAAAGAGAAAGACGGCAACAAAGGCACTCGACCGGAGGAACACAGCTGACTTGTGTCTCGTGTCATGTATCACGAAATGGGTCGTTTTTTTATCCTCCGATTAGTGTCCTTATATCCTCGTTCTCTCCTCGTATCCTCCGTCTCTCCTCATTTCTCCTCATTTCTCATCCTCTTTGGCTCTCGTCAGAATCTTGGTGTCAAGCGGAAATTATTCTTGGTGTCGTTTCGGGAGCGCTGAGTGTCAGATCGGAGTCTCGGTGGCACACTGGTGTCGTTTCCGGAGCGCTGAGTGTCAGATCGGAGTCTCGGTGGCCACACTGGGTCGTTTCCGGAGCGCTGAGTGTCAGATCGGAGTCTGGTGGCACACTGGTGTCGTTTCCGGAGCGCTGAGTGTCAGATCGGAGTCTCGGTGGCAACACTGGGTCGTTTCCGGAGCGGCTGTGTCAGATCGGTCTCGGTGGCCGGAGTGTCGTTTGAGAGTGCAGATCGGCAGTCTCGGTGGCACACTGGTGTCGTTTCCGGAGCGCTGAGTGTCAGATCGGAGTCTCGGTGGGCACTGGTGTCGTTCGGAGCGCTGAGTGTCAGATGGGTCTCGGTGGCAACTGGTGTCGTTTCGGAGCGCTGAGTGTCAGATCGGAGTCTCGGTGGCACACTGGTGTCGTTTCGGAGCGCTGAGTGTCAGATCGGAGACTGGTGTCGTTTCCGGAGCGCTGAGTGTCAGATCGGAGCTCGGTGGCACACTGGTGTCGTTTCCGGAGGGCTGAGTGTCAGATCGGAGTCTCGGTGGCCACTGGTGTCGTTTCGGGAGCGCTGAGTGTCAGATCAGGGAGTCTCGTGGCACACTGGTGTCGTTTCCGGAGCGCTGAGTGTCAGATCGGAGTCTCGGTGGCACACTGGTGTCGTTTCCGGAGCGCTGAGTGTCAGATCGGAGTCTCGGTGGCACACTGGTGTCGTTTCCGGAGCGCTGAGTGTCAGATCGGAGTCTCGGTGGCACTGGTGTCGTTTCGGGAAGCGCTGAGTGTCAGATCGGAGTCTCGGTGGCACACTGGTGTCGTTTCCGGGCGTCTGAGTGTCAGATCGAGTCTCGGTGGCACTGGGTTTCGAGGTCCTGAGTGTCAGATCGGAGTCTCGGTGGCACACTGTCGTTTCCGGAGCGCTGAGTGTCAGATCGGAGTCTCGTGGACTGGTGTCGTTTCCGGAGCGCTGAGTGTCAGATCGGAGTCTCGGTGGCACTGGGTGTCGTTTCGGGAGGTCTGAGTGCTTCAGATTCGGAGTCTCGGTGGCACTGGTGTCGTTTCGGAGCGCTGAGTGTCAGATCGGAGTCTCGGTGGCACACTGGTGTCGTTTCGCGCTGAGTGTCAGATCGGAGTCTGTGCACAGTCGTTTCCGGAGTGCCTCGGAGTCTCGGTGGGTGTCGTCTCGGAGTCTCGGTGGAGTCGTGTCTGAGTGTCAGATCGGAGTCCTCGGTGGCACACGGTGTCGTTTCGGGAGGTCTGAGTGTCAGATCGGAGTCTCGGTGGCACACTGGTGTCGTTTCGGGAGTCTGAGTGTCAGATCGGAGTCTCGGTGGCACACTGGTGTCGTTTCGGGGAGGTCTGAGTGTCAGATCGGAGTCTCGGTGGCACACTGGTGTCGTTTCCGGAGCGCTGAGTGTCAGATCGGAGTCTCGGTGGCACACTGGTGTCGTTTCGGGAGGTCTGAGTGTCAGATCGGAGTCTCGGTGGCACACTGGTGTCGTTTCGGGAGGTCTGAGTGTCAGATCGGAGTCTCGGTGGCACACTGGGTGTCGTTTCCGGAGCGCTGAGTGTCAGATCGGAGTCTCGGTGGCACTGGTGTCGTTTCGGGAGGTCTGAGTGTCAGATCGGAGTCTCGGTGGCACACTGGTGTCGTTTCGGGAGGTCTGAGTGTCAGATCGGAGTCTCGGTGGCACACTGTGTCGTTTCGGGAGGTCTGGAGTCTCGGTGGCACACTGGTGTCGTTTCCGGAGCGCTGAGTGTCAGATCGGAGTCTCGGTGGCACTGGTGTCGTTTCGGGAGCGTTGAGTGTCAGATCGGAGTCTCGGTGGCACTGGTGTCGTTTCGGAGCGCTGAGTGTCAGATGGAGTCTCGTGGCACACTGGTGTCGTTTGAGCGCTGAGTGTCAGATCGGAGTCTCGGTGGCACTGGTGTCGTTTCGGGAGGTCTGAGTGTCAGATCGGAGTCTCGGTGGCACACTGGTGTCGTTTCGGGACTGAGTGTCAGATCGGAGTCTCGGTGGCACACTGGTGTCGTTTCGGGAGTCTGAGTGTCAGATCGAGTCTCGGTGGCACTGGTGTCGTTTCGGGAGGTCTGAGTGTCAGATCGGAGTCTCGGTGGCACACTGGTGTCGTTTCGGGAGCGCTGAGTGTCAGATCGGGTCTCGGTGGCACACTGGTGTCGTTCCGGAGCGCTGGAGTGTCAGATCGGAGTCTCGGTGGCACTGGTGTCGTTCGGAGGTCTGAGTGTCAGATCGGAGTCTCGTGGCACACTGGTGTCGTTTCGGGAGGTCTGAGTGTCAGATCGGAGTCTCGGTGGCACACTGGGGTCGTTTCCGGAGCGTTGAGTGTCAGATCGGAGTCTCGGTGGCACTGGTGTCGTTTCGGGAGGTCTGAGTGTCAGATCGAGTCTCCCGGTGGCACACTGGTGTCGTTTCCGGAGCCTGAGTGTCAGATCGGGTCTCGGTGGCACTGGTGTCGTTTCGGGAGGTCTGAGTGTCAGATCGGAGTCCGGTGGCACACTGGGTCGTTTCGGGAGGTCTGAGGTCAGATCGGAGTCTCGGTGGCACACTGGGGTCGTTTCCGGAGCGTTGAGTGTCAGATCGGAGTCTCTGGCACTGGTGTCGTTTCGGGAGGTCCTGAGTGTCAGATCGGAAGTCTCGGTTGGCATGGTGTCGTTTCGGGAGGGCAGAGTGTCAGATCGGAGTCTCGGTGGCACTGGTGTCGTTTCGGGAGCGCTGAGTGTCAGATCGGAGTCTCGGTGGCACACTGGAAGGCTCTCGGTGTCACAATTTGAAACTCTGGTGTCGTAAGCGTGTGTGTCAATGAAATGCTCACCGGGCGCCCGACTTGTGACCTCTCGCGCGTCCTGAAAATAATGATGTAAAGTCAGGTTCTCTCTCTCTCTCTCTCTTTCTCTGGATTCTCTATCTGCTCTCGGTCTGTTTCTCTCTCTCTTTCTCTCTCTCTACTGTCTCTCGGTTCTCTATCTGTTTCTCTTTCTCTCTCTTCTTTCTCTCTTCTCTCTTCTCTCTTTCTCTCTCTCTCCCTTTTTTCCTCTTTCTCTCTCTTCTCTCTCTCTCTCTCTCTCTCTCTCTCTCTCTCTCTCTCTCTCTCTCTCTCTCTCTCTCTCTCGATCTATCTATCTATCTCTCTCGCATCTCTTCTTCTCTCTCTCTCTCTCGAAATCTATCTATCTATCTCTCTCTGCAGCTCTCTCTCTCTCTCTCTCTCTCTCTCTCTCTCTCTCTCT